GCTCGGGTATCCTCAGCGGACCCTGACCCTATGGTGTGACAACGAGAGCACTATACACCTTACCAAAGACCCTGTCTTCCACCAACGGACCAAGCATATCGAGCTTCGGCACTTCTTCATGCGCAATTTGGTCCAGCGTGGGCAGTTGTGGGTGAAGCACATTTCTTCTGACTGCAACCTCGCAGACCTGTTCACCAAGTCTCTTGGACGTCGTGACCACTACCGCCTCCTTCGTGCTATGGGTCTTGGCGTCCCGATGACTTCAGCCGTTGCAGCCTAAGGGGTGTGTTGGAGATAGGCAGCAATGTTGCACATTTGTGTGTTAGTAATTTGTTTGTTTAGGGTTAGGAATATTTGTTAGGTTGGGTATAGCTTTTTTATCTCCAACCTATCCCAACCCAATCCATCCCAAATCCCCACGATTTGGGAGGATTCCCTTGGGATTCCCTCCGATTCCCCTTATCCCTTCCAACCCTCTCCTATGGTTAGTACTTAAGCTTGTATGCTCTCTCTCATTTTAATCAATCAAAGTTCTGTTTCTTACAAGCGGCTGCCCGGTGAATGGGCATGGTGGCCAAGGACCCGCACCAGTGGTGTAGGGGTCGGGCCATGGGCGCTTGTGCCAGTGGCGCAAAGCGCGATGCACCCAGTGTGTGCGTAGGCCATTGAGCCCGCCCCATGGGGGCATGGGTGGCGGAGGGCCATGTTAGAATAGCGAGAATGAATGACTAGAAAGTGGGAGGTGAGATACAAGTACAAGGGGTTGTACCCTCTAAGAGTTGACCTAGCTAGGATACACTAACAAATATATCATAACTAGCAAATATATGTTTCTTACTTGACACACCCCCTAGCCTAGGTAGAGGCAGTCCTGACAAAAAAGAACAAACCAGGGCAGCACTACTAGTCTGGCCTCTGGTGAAGGTACGTAACAAGACAACTCAGGGCAGCACTTCTAGTCTGACCAATGAGACAAGAGGCCACAAGGCTAGTCAGCCAGTGTAACAAGACATGCAGGTATAGCACAGGAAGTACAAGCAGGTATAGTATCGACACATGATACAAGGAGCGGAGCTGCTACTGAGACTAGACCGAGCTGAGAACATAACCGCTGATGGTCAGGAGGCGGTAGTGCCTTGGTGAAGATATCAGCGGTGTTGGCCTCTGAGGCCAACTGCACCACACGAGCCTGACCCTGCTGATATCACTCACGCAGCAGGAAGTACCGCAGCTGGATATGCTTCGTCCTGCCCTCAAGTTGAGCCTCCTGACATAGGAGGATCATGGTCCTGTTATCAGCAAACAGGACCGAGGCAGACCTAGGCTGCTCACCTATGTCTGTGAGCAAGAACGTCAGCCAGCGGAACTCCTGAATGGCCATGGCCCCAGCGAAGATCTCTGCCTCACAGCTGAACTGAGCTACAGCGTAGATCTCTCGACAGACACCGCAGTACCCTCTTGGCAGCCAACCAGTGGACTCGTCGTTGCCTGCCTGTCGCAACAAAGCGAGCAAGGAGACTGAGAGTGTATGCTAGATCTGGTCGAGTGCAGGTCATGAAGTACATAAGACACCCCACCAGCTCTGCGTATGGACCACTACCCTCGACCGGCTCAGCCAGAACAGGAGTAGAGAGCTTGTGATCCACAAGGGGGTGGGCTGAGCTGAGGAGAATAGGAGACTGAACCTCAACAGGATCTGCTGCACCATATAGGACTGAGAGAGTATGATCGTGCGAGCGGCACGGTCATGAGAGATCTCCAAGCCCAGATAGCACCTCAGCTCCCCCAAGTCTGCACAGGTGCGCCTCCTATAATATCGGCCTTCACTGAGGCCAGTGGGACTTTGTCAGGAGTAGCAACGATAAAATCTATGTACACCAAGATGTACAAAGGTGTCTGACCCGTGCAAACAGAGAGAGAGAGGGGTCAGCAGAGGATGGAAAGAACTGCAGCTCATAAAGAGTGGAGCGAAGCGTGTCATGCCACTTACGGGGTGCCTGACGAAGGCCGTAGACAGGGCGACGCAGGCTCCACTAGGTCCCAGGTGGGAAGGACCAAAAGAAGCCTAGAGGGCGCCGAAGGTAAATCTGCTTGTGCAGACTACCCTGCACAAACGCTGTCAAGAAGTCGAGTAAGTGAAGCTGGTAGTCATGCTGTGAGCTAATGTGGAGTGTTGGTTAGAGAAGGCTATTAGCAGATGATTTGACGGCTCCTTAGAAATTTCTGCAGCACTTCGTTATGGTGCCCAGGAAACTTGCAACCTACGAAATGCTATATCCGAACGTTGAATTGATGAAACAATATGAAACTCAGAAATATTGTAGCTTGCAGAATCAGCTTTAAACTGAAAGTTGAATCACTCGATTCCGTAGTCTAGCGAGTGAGCTGTAGCACTTGGCGTACTGGGGGGTAATCTGCCTTAGGAGAAATTGACAGTCCTCAGAGTCACATTCATTGAAACTTACAAGTTCAAAAGCATGATGGAAACATTGAAGCACAGTTGGAAGATCGGGTAGGAAGGGAAGAATGAAAGGGAAGGACCCTGCAGGCCCTTGGTCAAGAACATGACAAGATTCAAAGTCTTGACTCCCCATGCTCAGGTTCAACCAGCCTGGCAAGACAAAATTCACACAGTGCCATGTTGGCCTCCTGCCTTAGAAGAAATTGACAGTCCTCCGAGTCACAAACATTGAAGCTTATAAGTTCAGTGAACAAAACGAGCCAGGAGACTGAGAGGGTACGCTAGATCTGGTCGAGTGCAGGTCATCAGGTACATGAGGTAACCCACAAGCTATGCGTATGGACCACAAGCCTCGACCGGCTCAGCCGGAACAGGAGCAGAGAGCTTTTAATCCACAGGCAGAGGGGTGGGCTGTGCTGAGGAGAACTGGAGACTGAACCTCTGGAGGGTCTGCTGCACTATTTGAGACAGGGAGAGTGTGATTGTGCGAGCAGCACGGTCACGAGAGATCTCCAAGCCCAGATAGTGCCTCAACTCCCCCAAATCTTTACAAGTGTGTCTCCTAAGTAACTCGGCCTTCACTGAGGCCAGTGCGACTCTGTCAGGAGTAGCGTAGATAAAATGCTCTACGTACACTAGAATGTAGAACGGTGTTTGACCCGTGCGAATAAAGAGAGAGGGGTCAGCAGAGGACGGAAAGACTTGCAGCTCAACAAGAGTGGTGCGAAGCGTGTCGTGCCACTCACAGGGTGCCTGACGAAGGCCGTAGACAGGACGGCATAGGCTCCACTCAGTCCCAGGTGGGAAGGACCCAGAGGAGCCTAGAGGGCACCAGAGGTAGATCTCAGTGGTCACGCTGGTGACCTTCCTGACTACCCAGACTACCCTGCAGGAACTCTGTGGAAAAGTCGAGTGCGTGAAGCTCGTAGTCACGCTGCGCGGCTATGTGAAGAAGGACCCGAAAAGTAGTCATCTTCGGGGTCGGGGAGAAGGTTTGGAAGAAGTCCACACCCTCACACTGACTGAAGCATCTAGCCACGTAACGCGCCTTGAACTTCGGCGGCTCTCCAGGTGTGCGTTTCACCCTGTAGATCCACATGCCATCGACTACGTTTGCCCCAGGCAGGGGAACTGCGTCGACGTAAGTGCTTATGGATCTGTAGGATGCCATCTCAGCCTCTGTGGCCTGTATCCACTGGGCTGCCCAGGGCCCCGATACCGCCTCAGCATAAGAGCGCAGAACAGGGATGCCGAGAGCATCTGGGTTACCCTCTGGGGATACAAGCATGGAGCAGAGATGGCATCCTACAGTAGCTGCCGCGGTAGCGGCAGTAGCTGCAGTGGCAGCGGTAGTGGCTGCCGCGGAGAGGCACTTATGGTTGTAGTGGCGGCGACAGCAGCAGCAGTGGCAGCGGCTGAAGTGGCAGTGGCGGCTGCAGAGGCAGCGGCTAACTGTGGCTGCAGCGGCAGTGGCAGTCGCCGTGGCGAGCTGGCCAGCGACGAGCTGGTAGGCGCTGTGGACGACTAGCTGCTGGCGGCGAGCTGGCGGAGGCCGTGGGCAGCTTGTTGGCTGGCGGTGCTGGCGACTAGCTGCTGGCGACGAATCTTCAGCGAGGCGCCATGGCTGGCGCGGCGCTTACTAGTGTGCGGGCGAGCTGGACGGCGCTAAAACCGGGCGCTGGCCGCTGCCGTCCGTGCGCTGGCGCGTCGACGCCACCACAAAAGCACGACGACGCCGCCACGGCTGCACGACGACGCCGCCACGGCGTGGAGTCGATGCCACTGCAGCACGTCGAGGCTGCCACGGCAGCCCATAAAGGCCGTCGTGGCAGCACGACATGGCCACCACAGTGGTGCGTAAGTGACGGGAGGGGCGAGCGGACACTGCGGAAGCGTGATGCGGCAGGATCGGCCTACTTCGGTACCATGTTGTAAAGTCAGATAAGCATAGAAACTATCTAGGCATAGGAGAATGTCAAGAGGTTTGGCTAGGGGGGAAGAGTTCCAAGAGAAAAGAGTTTGGACTAGAAGAGGAAGAGATACAAAAAGGGGGGGTTGTCCCCTCTACAGTAGGATCCAGTAATATAGCACATCTACCAAGACTACACAAATAATATATATATCTAAATATATAGTTTGACATTTCTGTCTCCCTGTTTTGGGTATGTCTCTGGATTATTTTCTTACACGGTGCATGCGTCATTATTCCAACAGACGCTACAACCGCCAACCACTAGTGCCCCTCAGAGTGCGACAAGCGGAGGTCGGATGATCAGTGGAGATGGGTGCGGGATGGCACTGACCTGAAGGATAGCCAAGGGGATTTTTGTGTGAGGCGTGACATGTGAGGGGCATAAGAGCAGGGCGAGAGGTTTGCGTGCGGCAGGTGATCCATGCCACGCTGCACAACGGAGGAAAGCACAGGAGAGCGGCAGCAAAAGGGGAATGCAGCAGGGGTTAGATGCCGCAGGGTTGGGATGCAGCATAGGTAGACATGGGCAAAAAAAATCGCATCGCATCGCATTTAATCGCGTTTTTGCGATGGCGATGTTTTTTTTTTTTTTTTTATCATCGCGCGATGCGATGAATTAATATCGCGCGATTTAATTTAAATCGCATTTTAATCGCGCTTAAAAAACGCGATTTAAATGCGATATGCGATTTTTTTAAAATCGCGCGCGATATTGCACTGAAACCCACTCTGAAACCCACTACGAAACCAAACTGGTTATTTGCACTCTAGCTTTCGACTGCCCGTGAGTCAATTTCCCCACAGCCATGGTTTTTTTCTGTTTTTTTGGGGTGTTTTTTAATTCTGTTTTAAAACGCGATGCGATTTAAAATCGCATTTTGCGATTTAATTAAATATCGCATGCGATTTATTAATACATCGCGGGTAAAATGCGATGTGCGATTTTTTTTTTTTTTTTGAAAAATAAATCGCGCGATGCGATTTAAAATCGCATCGCTTTTTTAAACATCGCACCTGCATGCGATGCGATTTAAATCGCAATCGCGTTTTGATCATGTCTAAGCATAGGGTGGGATGCTGCAGTGCGGGAATGCAGCATGGGTTGGGATGCAACATGGGGTGGCATGGCGCATGGGGAGGGAAGCAGCACGAGGTGAGATGCAACATGGGGTGGGATGGAGCATGGGGTCGGATGCAGCCCCAGCTGGCATGCAGCAGGGGTGGCATTCCGCATGAGGCATGACGCAGCAGGGGTGGAATGCAGCATGGGGTGGGATGTAGCAGGGATCCGGATGCTGGAGGGGTGGGATGCAGCATGAGGTGAGATGTAGCAGGAGTGGAATGAAGCAGGGGTGGGATACAGTAGTGGCGAGATGAGGCAGGGGTTGAATGCAGCAGGGGAGGGATGCAGCGGAATGGGATGCAGCATGAGCGGAGATACTGCATGAGGGGAGATGCAGCATGAGGGGAGATACAGCATGAGGAGAAACGCACCATGAGGTTGGATGCAGCATGGGTGGAATGCAGCAAGGGATGGAATGCAGCATGGGGTGGGATGCAGCACGGGTGGGATGCAGCATGAGGGGAGATACAGCATGGTGAGGTGGGATATAGTATGGGGTGCGATGCAGGATGGCGTAAAGATTTGCGGGGGCACTTTATGGATGTGCAGGAGACCGGGAGAGTTTATGGATGGGCAGGTGAGCCGGCGAAATGATGGATGGGCAGGAGAGCGGGAGAGTTTATGGATGGGCAGCAGAGCGGGTGGGTTTATGGATGGGCAGTTCAGCGAGAGAGTTTATGGATGGGCAGGAGAGCGGGAGAGTTTATGGATGGGCAGGTGAGCGGGATAGCTTTCCGATGGGCAGGTGAGCGAGAGAGTTTATGGATGGGCAGGAGAGCCGGAGAGTTTTTGGATGGGCAGGTGAGTTTTTGGATGGGCAGGAGAGCGGGAGAGTTTATGGATGGGCAGGTGAGCGGGAGATTTTATGGATGGGGAGGAGAGCGGGAGAGTTTATGGATGCCCAGGTGAGCGGGAAAGTTTATGGATGGACAAGTGAGCAAGAGAGTTTATGGATGGGCAGGAGAGCGGGAGAGCTTATGGATGGGCAGGTGAGTGGGAGAGTTAATAAATGGGCAGGAGAGCGGGAGAGTCTATGGATGGGCAGGTGAGCGGGAGAGTTAATAAATGGGCAGGAGAGCGGGAGAGTCTATGGATGGGCAGTAGAGCGGGAGAGTTCATGGGTGGGCAGGTGAGCGGGAGAGTTCATGGATGCCCAGGAGAGCGGGAGAGTTCATGGATGCGAAGGAGAGCGGGAGAGTTCATGGATGCGCAGGAGAGCGGGAGAGTTCGTGGATGGGCAGGTGTGCGGGAGAGTTTATGGATGGGCAGGAGAGCTGGAGAGTTTATGGATGGGCAGGTGAGCGGGAAAGTTTATGGATGGGCAAGAGAGCAGGTGATTTCATGGATGCGCAGGAGAGAGAGAGAGTTCATGGATGGGCAAGAGAGCGGGAGAGTTCATGGATGCGCAGGAGAGCGGGAGAGTTTATGGATGGGCAGGTGAGCGGGAGAGTTAATGGATTGGAAGGAGAGCGGGAGAGTATATGGATGGGCAGGTGAGCAAGAGAGTTTATGGATGGGCAGTAGAGCGGGAGAGTTCATGGGTGGGCAGGTGAGCGGGAGAGTTCATGGATGCGCAGGAGAGTGGGAGAGTTCATGGATGCGCAGGAGAGCGGGAGAGTTCATGGATGCGCAGGAGAACGGGAGAGTTTATGGATGCGCAGGAGAGCAGGAGAGTTTATGGATGGGCAGGAGAGCGGGAGAGCTTATGGATGGGCAGCTGAGCGGGAGAGATTATGGATGGGCAGGAGAGCGGGAGAGTTTATGGATGGGCAGGTGAGCGGGAGAGTTTATGGATGGGCAGGAGAGCTGGAGGGTTTATGGATGGGCAGGTGAGCGAGAGAGTTTATGGATGGGCTGGAGAGCGGGTGAGTATATAGATGGGCAGGTGAGCGGGAGAGTTTATGGATGGGCGGGAGAGCGGGAGAGTTTATGGATGGGCAGGTGAGCGGGAGAGTTCATGGATGTGCAGGAGAGTGAGAGAGTTCATGGATGGGCAGGAGAGCGGGAGAGTTTATGGATGGGCAGGAGAGTGGGAGAGTTTATGGATGGGCAGGAGAGCGGGAGAGATTTTGGATGGGCAGGTGAGTTTATGGATGGGCAGGAGCGCGGGAGAGTTCATGGATGGGCAGGGGAGCGGGAGAGTTTATGGATGGGCAGGTGAGCGGGAGAGTTTATGGATGGTCAGGAGAGCGGGAGAGTTTATGGATGCGCAGGTGAGCGAAAAAGTTTATGGATGGGCAGGTGAGCGGGAGAGTTCATGGAGGAGGTGAGCGGGAGAGTTCATGGATGGGCAGGTGAGCGGGGGAGTTCATGGATGCGCAGGAGAGCGGGAGAGTTCATGGATGCGTAGGAGAGAGGGAGAGTTCATGGATGGGCAGGTGAGCGGGAGAGTTAATAAATGGGCAGGAGAGCGGGAGAGTCTATGGATGGGCAGTAGAGCGGGAGAGTTCATGGGTGGGCAGGTGAGCGGGAGAGTTCATGGATGCCCAGGAGAGCGGGAGAGTTTATGGATGCGCAGGTGAGCGAAAAAGTTTATGGATGGGCAGGTGAGCGGGAGAGTTCATGGAGGAGGTGAGCGGGAGAGTTCATGGATGGGCAGGTGAGCGGGGGAGTTCATGGATGCGCAGGAGAGCGGGAGAGTTTTTGGATGCGTAGGAGAGAGGGAGAGTTCATGGATGGGCAGGTGAGCGGGAGAGTTAATAAATGGGCAGGAGAGCGGGAGAGTCTATGGATGGGCAGTAGAGCGGGAGAGTTCATGGGTGGGCAGGTGAGCGGGAGAGTTCATGGATGCCCAGGAGAGCGGGAGAGTTCATGGATGCGCAGGAGAGCGGGAGAGTTCATGGATGCGCAGGAGAGCGGGAGAGTTCGTGGATGGGCAGGTGTGCGGGAGAGTTTATGGATGGGCAGGAGAGCTGGAGAGTTTATGGATGGGCAGGTGAGCGGGAGTGTTTATGGATGGGCAAGAGAGCGGGTGATTTCATGGTTGCGCAGGAGAGAGAGAGAGTTCATGGATGGGCAAGAGAGCGGGAGAGTTCATGGATGCGCAGGAGAGCGGGAGAGTTTTTGGATGGGCAGGTGAGCGGGAGAGTTAATGGATTGGAAGGAGAGCGGGAGAGTATATGGATGGGCAGGTGAGCAAGAGAGTTTATGGATGGGCAGTAGAGCGGGAGAGTTCATGGGTGGGCAGGTGAGCGGGAGAGTTAATAAATGGGCAGGAGAGCGGGAGAGTTAATGGATGGGCAGTAGAGCAGGAGAGTTCATGGGTGGGCAGGTGAGCGGGAGAGTTCATGGATGCGCAGGAGAGCGGGAGAGTTTATGGATGGGTAGGTGAGTGGGAGAGATTATGGATGGGCAGGAGAGCGGGAGAGTTTATGGATGCGCAGGTGAGCGGGAAAGTTTATAGATGGGCAGGTGAGCGAGACAGTTCATGGAGGAGATGAGCGGGAGAGTTCATGGATGGGCAGGTGAGCGGGGGAGTTCATGGATGCGCAGGAGAGCGGGAGAGTTCATGGATGCGTAGGAGAGAGGGAGAGTTCATGGATGGGCAGGTGAGCGGGAGAGTTAATAAATGGGCAGGAGAGCGGGAGAGTCTATGGATGGGCAGTAGAGCGGGAGAGTTCATGGGTGGGCAGGTGAGCGGGAGAGTTCATGGATGCCCAGGAGAGCGGGAGAGTTCATGGATGCGCAGGAGAGCGGGAGAGTTCATGGATGCGCAGGAGAGCGGGAGAGTTCGTGGATGGGCAGGTGTGGGGGAGAGTTTATGGATGGGCAGGAGAGCTGGTGAGTTTATGGATGGGCAGGTGAGCGGGAGTGTTTATGGATGGGCAAGAGAGCGGGTGATTTCATGGATGCGCAGGAGAGAGAGAGAGTTCATGGATGGGCAAGAGAGCGGGAGAGTTCATGGATGCGCAGGAGAGCGGGAGAGTTTTTGGATGGGCAGGTGAGCGGGAGAGTTAATGGATTGGAAGGAGAGCGGGAGAGTGTATGGATGGGCAGGTGAGCAAGAGAGTTTATGGATGGGCAGTAGAGCGGGAGAGTTCATGGGTGGGCAGGTGAGCGGGAGAGTTAATAAATGGGCAGGAGAGCGGGAGAGTTAATGAATGGGCAGTAGAGCGGGAGAGTTCATGGGTGGGCAGGTGAGCGGGAGAGTTCATGGATGCGCAGGAGAGCGGGAGAGTTCATGGATGCGCAGGAGAGCGGGAGAGTTCCTAGATGCGTAGGAGAGCAGGAGAGTTCATGCATGCACAGGAGAGCGGGAGAGCTCATGGATGCGCAGCAGAGCGGGGGAGTTCGTGGATGGGCAAGAGAGCGGGTGATTTCATGGATGCGCAGGAGAGAGAGAGAGTTCATGGATGGGCAAGAGAGCGGGAGAGTTCATGGATACGCAGGAGTGCGGGAGAGTTTATGGATGGGCAGGTGAGCGGGAGAGTTAATGGATTGGAAGGAGAGCGGGAGAGTATATGGATGGGCAGGTGAGTAAGAGAGTCTATGGATGGGCAGAAGAGGGGGAGAGTTCATGGGTGGGCAGGTGAGCGGGAGAGTTCATGGATGCCCAGGAGAGCGGGAGAGTTCATGGATGCGCAGGAGAGCGGGAGAGTTCATGGATGCGCAGGAGAGCGGGAGAGTACATAGATGCGCAGGAGCGGGAGAGTTCATGGATGCGCAGGAGAGCGGGAGAGTTTATGGTTGCGTAGGAGAGCAGGAGAGTTTATGGATGGTCAGGAGAGCGGGAGAGTTTATGGATGGTCAGCTGAGCGGGAGAGATTATGGATGGGCAGGAGAGCGGGAGAGTTTATGGATGGGCAGGTGAGCGGGAGAGTTTATGGATGGGCAGGAGAGCTGGAGGGTTTATGGATGGGCAGGTGGGCGGGAGAGTTTACGGATGGGCAGGAGAGCGGGTGAGTATATAGATGGGCAGGTGAGCGGGAGAGTTTATGGATGGGCAGGAGAGCGGGAGAGTTTATGGATGGGCAGGTGAGCGGGAGAGTTCATGGATGTGCAGGAGAGTGAGAGAGTTCATGGATGGGCAGGAGAGCGGGAGAGTTTATGGATGGGAAGGAGAGCGGGAGAGTTTATGGATGGGCAGGAGAGCGGGAGAGATTTTGGATGGGCAGGTGAGTTTATGGATGGGCAGGAGAGCTGGAGAGTTTATGGATGGGCAGGAGAGCGGGAGAGTTTATGGATGGGCAGGTGAGCGGGAGAGTTTATGGATGGGCAGGAGAGCGGGAGAGTTTATGGATGCGCAGGTGAGCGAAAAAAGTTTATGGATGGGCAGGTTAGCGGGAGAGGTCATGGAGGAGGTGAGCGGGAGAGTTCATGGATGGGCAGGTGAGTGGGGGAGTTCATGGATGCGCAGGAGAGCGGGAGAGTTCATGGATGCGTAGGAGAGAGGGAGAGTTCATGGATGGGCAGGTGGGCGGGAGAGTTTACGGATGGGCAGGAGAGCGGGTGAGTATATAGATGGGCAGGTGAGCGGGAGAGTTTATGGATGGGCAGGAGAGCGGGAGAGTTTATGGATGGGCAGGTGAGCGGGAGAGTTCATGGATGTGCAGGAGAGTGAGAGAGTTCATGGATGGGCAGGAGAGCGGGAGAGTTTATGGATGGGCAGGAGAGCGGGAGAGTTTATGGATGGGCAGGAGAGCGGGAGAGATTTTGGATGGGCAGGTGAGCGGGAGAGTTTATAAATGGGCAAGAGAGCGGGTGATTTCATGGATGCGCAGGAGAGAGAGAGAGTTCATGGATGGGCAAGAGAGCGGGAGAGTTCATGGATACGCAGGAGTGCGGGAGAGTTTATGGATGGGCAGGTGAGCGGGAGAGTTAATGGATTGGAAGGAGAGCGGGAGAGTATATGGATGGGCAGGTGAGTAAGAGAGTCTATGGATGGGCAGAAGAGGGGGAGAGTTCATGGGTGGGCAGGTGAGCGGGAGAGTTCATGGATGCCCAGGAGAGCGGGAGAGTTCATGGATGCGCAGGAGAGCGGGAGAGTTCATGGATGCGCAGGAGAGCGGGAGAGTACATAGATGCGCAGGAGAGCGGGAGAGTTCATGGATGCGCAGGAGAGCGGGAGAGTTTATGGTTGCGTAGGAGAGCACGAGAGTTTATGGATGGTCAGGAGAGCGGGAGAGTTTATGGATGGTCAGCTGAGCGGGAGAGTTTATGGATGGGCAGGAGAGCTGGAGGGTTTATGGATGGGCAGGTGGGCGGGAGAGTTTACGGATGGGCAGGAGAGCGGGTGAGTATATAGATGGGCAGGTGAGCGGGAGAGTTTATGGATGGGCAGGAGAGCGGGAGAGTTTATGGATGGGCAGGTGAGCGGGAGAGTTCATGGATGTGCAGGAGAGTGAGAGAGTTCATGGATGGGCAGGAGAGCGGGAGAGTTTATGGATGGGAAGGAGAGCGGGAGAGTTTATGGATGGGCAGGAGAGCGGGAGAGATTTTGGATGGGCAGGTGAGTTTATGGATGGGCAGGAGAGCTGGAGAGTTTATGGATGGGCAGGAGAGCGGGAGAGTTTATGGATGGGCAGGTGAGCGGGAGAGTTTATGGATGGGCAGGAGAGCGGGAGAGTTTATGGATGCGCAGGTGAGCGAAAAAAGTTTATGGATGGGCAGGTTAGGGGGAGAGGTCATGGAGGAGGTGAGCGGGAGAGTTCATGGATGGGCAGGTGAGTGGGGGAGTTCATGGATGCGCAGGAGAGCGGGAGAGTTCATGGATGCGTAGGAGAGAGGGAGAGTTCATGGATGGGCAGGTGGGCGGGAGAGTTTACGGATGGGCAGGAGAGCGGGTGAGTATATAGATGGGCAGGTGAGCGGGAGAGTTTATGGATGGGCAGGAGAGCGGGAGAGTTTATGGATGGGCAGGTGAGCGGGAGAGTTCATGGATGTGCAGGAGAGTGAGAGAGTTCATGGATGGGCAGGAGAGCGGGAGAGTTTATGGATGGGCAGGAGAGCGGGAGAGTTTATGGATGGGCAGGAGAGCGGGAGAGATTTTGGATGGGCAGGTGAGCGGGAGAGTTTATAAATGGGCAAGAGAGCGGGTGATTTCATGGATGCGCAGGAGAGAGAGAGAGTTCATGGATGGGCAAGAGAGCGGGAGAGTTCATGGATACGCAGGAGTGCGGGAGAGTTTATGGAGGGGCAGGTGAGCGGGAGAGTTAATGGATTGGAAGGAGAGCGGGAGAGTATATGGATGGGCAGGTGAGTAAGAGAGTCTATGGATGGGCAGAAGAGGGGGAGAGTTCATGGGTGGGCAGGTGAGCGGGAGAGTTCATGGATGCCCAGGAGAGCGGGAGAGTTCATGGATGCGCAGGAGAGCGGGAGAGTTCATGGATGCGCAGGAGAGCGGGAGAGTACATAGATGCGCAGGAGAGCGGGAGAGTTCATGGATGCGCAGGAGAGCGGGAGAGTTTATGGTTGCGTAGGAGAGCACGAGAGTTTATGGATGGTCAGGAGAGCGGGAGAGTTTATGGATGGTCAGCTGAGCGGGAGAGTTTATGGATGGGCAGGAGAGCTGGAGGGTTTATGGATGGGCAGGTGGGCGGGAGAGTTTACGGATGGGCAGGAGAGCGGGTGAGTACATAGATGGGCAGGTGAGCGGGAGAGTTTATGGATGGGCAGGAGAGCGGGAGAGTTTATGGATGGGCAGGTGAGCGGGAGAGTTCATGGATGTGCAGGAGAGTGAGAGAGTTCATGGATGGGCAGGAGAGCGGGAGAGTTTATGGATGGGAAGGAGAGCGGGAGAGTTTATGGATGGGCAGGAGAGCGGGAGAGATTTTGGATGGGCAGGTGAGTTTATGGATGGGCAGGAGAGCTGGAGAGTTTATGGATGGGCAGGAGAGCGGGAGAGTTTATGGATGGGCAGGTGAGCGGGAGAGTTTATGGATGGGCAGGAGAGCGGGAGAGTTTATGGATGCGCAGGTGAGCGAAAAAAGTTTATGGATGGGCAGGTTAGCGGGAGAGTTCATGGAGGAGGTGAGCGGGAGAGTTCATGGATGGGCAGGTGAGTGGGGGAGTTCATGGATGCGCAGGAGAGCGGGAGAGTTCATGGATGCGTAGGAGAGAGGGAGAGTTCATGGATGGGCAGGTGGGCGGGAGAGTTTACGGATGGGCAGGAGAGCGGGTGAGTATATAGATGGGCAGGTGAGCGGGAGAGTTTATGGATGGGCAGGAGAGCGGGAGAGTTTATGGATGGGCAGGTGAGCGGGAGAGTTCATGGATGTGCAGGAGAGTGAGAGAGTTCATGGATGGGCAGGAGAGCGGGAGAGTTTATGGATGGGCAGGAGAGTGGGAGAGTTTATGGATGGGCAGGAGAGCGGGAGAGATTTTGGATGGGCAGGTGAGTTTATGGATGGGCAGGAGAGCTGGAGAGTTTATGGATGGGCAGGAGAGCGGGAGAGTTTATGGATGGGCAGGTGAGCGGGAGAGTTTATGGATGGGCAGGAGAGCGGGAGAGTTTATGGATGCGCAGGTGAGCGAAAAAAGTTTATGGATGGGCAGGTTAGCGGGAGAGTTCATGGAGGAGGTGAGCGGGAGAGTTCATGGATGGGCAGGTGAGCGGGGGAGTTCATGGATGCGCAGGAGAGCGGGAGAGTTCATGGATGCGTAGGAGAGAGGGAGAGTTCGTGGATGGGCATGTGAGCGGGAGAGTTAATAAATGGGCAGGAGAGCGGGAGAGTTTATGGATGCGCAGGTGAGCCGGAAAGTTTATGGATGGACAGGTGAGCGAGAGAGTTTATGGATGGGCAGGAGAGCGGGAGAGCTTATGGATGGTCAGGTGAGCGGGAGAGTTAATAAATGGGCAGGAGAGCGGGAGAGTCTATGGATGGGCAGGTGAGCAGGAGAGTTAATAAATGGGCAGGAGAGCGGAAGGGTTAATGTATGGGCAGTAGAGCGGGAGAGTTCATGGGTGCGCAGGTGAGCGGGAGACTTCATGGATGCGCCGGAGAGCGGGAGAGTTCATGGATGCGCAGGAGAGCGGGAGAGTTCATGGATGCGCAGGAGAGCGGGAGAGTTCGTGGATGGGCAGGTGTGCGGGAGAGTTTATGTATGGGCAGGAGAGCTGGAGAGTTTATTGATGGGCAGGTGAGCGGGAGAGATTTTGGATGGGCAGGTGAGTTTATGGATGGGCAGGAGGGCGGGAGAGTTTATGGATGGGCAGGAGAGCAGGAGAGTTTATGGATGGACAGGTGAGCGGGAGAGTTTATGGATGGGCAGGAGAACGGGAGAGTTTATGGATGGGTAGGAGAGCGGGAGAGTTTTTTTATGGACAGGAGAGTTTATGGATGGGCAGGAGAGCAGGACAGTTTATGGATGGGTAGGTGAGCCGGAGAGTTGATGGATGGGCAGGAGAGCGGGAGAGTTTATGGATGGGCAGTTCAGCGAGAGATTTTATGGATGGGCAGGAGAGCGGGAGAATTTATGGATGGGCAGGTGAGCGGGAGAGTTTATGGATGGGCAGGAGAGCGGGAGAGTTTTTGGATGGGCAGGTGAGTTTTGGATGGGCAGGAGAGCGGGAGGGTTTATGGATGGGCAGGTGAGCCGGAGAGTTAATGGATGGCCAGGTGAGCGGGAGAGTTTATGGATGGGCAGGAGAGGGGGAGAGTTTATGGATGGGCAGTTGAGCGGGAGAGTTTATGGATCGGCAGGAGAGCGGGAGAGTTTATGGATGGGCAGATGAGCGGGAGAGTTTATGGATGGGCAGGTGAGCGGCAGAGTTTATGGATGGGCAGGAGAGCGGGGGAGTTTATGGATGGGCAGTTGAGTGGGAGAGTTTATGGATGGGCAGGTGAGTTTATGGATGGGCAGGAGAGCAGGACAGTTTATGGATGGGCAGGTGAGCCGGAGAGTTGATGGATGGGCAGGGGAGCGGGAGAGTTTATGGATGGGCAGTTGAGGGGGAGATTTATGGATGGGCAGGAGAGCGGGAGAGTTTATGGATGGGCAGATGAGCGGGAGAGTTTATGGATGGGCAGGTGAGCGGCAGAGTTTATGGATGGGCAGGAGAGCGGGAGAGTTTATGGATGGGCAGTTGAGCGGGAGAGTTTATGGATGGGCAGGTGAGTTTATGGATGGGCAGGAGAGCAGGAGAGTTTATGGATGGGCAGGTGAGCCGGAGAGTTGATGGATGGGCAGGAGAGTGGGAGAGTTTATGGATGGGCAATTCAGCGAGAGATTTTTTGGATGGGCAGGAGAGCGGGAGAGTTTATGGATGGGCAGGAGAGCGGGAGAGTTTACCGATGGGCAGGTGAGCGGGAGTGTTTATGGATGGGCAGGAGAGCGGGAGAGTTTTTGGATGGGCAGGTGAGTTTTTGGATGGGCAGGAGAGCGGGAGGGTTTATGGATGGGCAGGTGAGCCGGAGATTTGATGGATGGCCAGGTGAGCTGGAGAGTTTATGGATGGGCAGGAGAGCGGGAGAGTTTATGGATGCGCAGGAGAGCGGGAGAGTTTATGGATGGGCAGGTGAGCTGGAGAGTTTATGGATGGGCAGGAGAGCGGGAGAGTTTATGGATGCGCAGGTGAGCGGGAAAGTTGATGGATGGGCTGGTGAGCGGGAGAGTTCATGGAGGAGGTGAGCGGGAGAGTTCATGGATGGGCAGGTGAGCGGGGGAGTTCATGGATGCGCAGGAGAGCAGGAGAGTTCATGGATGCGTAGGAGAGAGGGAGAGTTCATGGATGGGCAAGAGAGCGGGAGAGTTCACGGATGGGCAGGAGAGCAAGAGAGTTTATGGATGGGCAGGTGAGCGGGAGAGTTCATGGAGCAGGTGAGCGGGAGAGTTCATGGATGCGCAGGAGAGCGGGAGAGTTCATTGACGCGCAGGAGAGCGGCAGAGTTCATGGATGGGCAGGAGAGCGGGATTGTGGGTTAGCAGGAGAGTGGGGGAGCGCGAGAGTGGGAGAGCGAGAGAGCGGGAGAGCAGGAGACTGGGGGAGTGGGTGAGAGGGAGCGCGGGAGAGCGGGACGGCTGGAGAGTGGGAGCGCAGGGGGGGGGTGGTGGGGGGAGCAGGATCGTAGGAGGGCGGGAGAGCAGGAGACGAGAGAGCAGAGGGAGGGTGGTGTGGTGGGAGATGGGGGGATGAGATGAGGGCAGTATGGGAAACATGGAGGAGGCAGGCATGCGGTGGGATGGGATGTTGCCACACCCACTCTTGCTCCTGTATGCATGGAAGAACAGAGGAGGTGGGGGGAGGGAAGGGTTTAAGGGGGAATTGGGGGGGGAGGGAGGGGTGGGGTTGGAAGGGAAAGAGGGAGCAAAGCGAGTCGCAAGGAGGAGGAGGCAAGGGACGCAGGGGGGTTGAAGAGTGAGCACAGCTGCCACGCCCACTCTTGCTGCTGCTGCACGCAAGAGGGGGAGTGGAAGGTAGGGGTTGGGGTGCGAGGGAGGGGTGGGGTGGGAGGAAGGGGAAGAGATCAATGCGAGATGCAAGGAGGCAAGGGATGCAGGTGGTCGGAAGAGAGAGCACAGCTTCCACGCCCACTCTTGCTGTTGCTGCACGCATGGAAGCACGCAGGAGAGGGGGTGGAAGGGATGTGCATGGGATGGGAGGGATGGGTGGGGTGGGGTGGGAAGGGAGAAGAGAGAGCAAAGGGAGACGCAAGGAGGAGGAGATAAGGGAGGCGGGGGGGTGCATGCTGCCACGCCCAATCTTGCTGCTGTTACATGCATGGCCGCACAGAGGGAGCGGAGGAGGAAGGCATGGTCCGTGGGTTGGTGCATGGGATGGTGCATGGAAGGGATGCATGGGGGCTGTGACGTATTTACCCACGTAACCCCCATTCCACCCACCTTTACCCATTCCCACCCATTGGAAAATCACCACCTTGCCACTCACGTACTCCGCCCCATCCCTCTTTCCTCCCCCATTCCTACCTTTTGAGTCGACTCAAAAAAATCATCCCACCTTAATGCATTCGATCCATTTGAATATCACTACCTCTCCACCCACACGCCCCTCCCCATCTACTTCTCTCTCTCCCCCTCCTCCCCCTCCTTCTCCCCCTCATTCTCCCCCCCTTCTCCCATCCTTCTCCCCCTCCCTCTCGCCCTCCCCCTTCCCCCCCCCTGCCCCTCCCCCTCCTCCCCCCGCCATTCTCTCCAGCTGGTAGCACAGCCTGCTCCTGGCGTTGTCCAGCAGCCAATCACAGTGCGACAGCTCAGCAACGGGGCCGGAGTGGGAGGGGTAGGAGGCGGGGAGATGCACGAGGAGTGTGAGGGAGGGGGAGGGGCGGGTGTGACTGTCCATACTTGTGACTGAATCGGGGTGCTGGATGGATGTCTGTCATTCAAGGGGATAAGACAAAGGAAGGAGGAGAGGTGCTCGAGGAGAGTGAGTGAAGGAGGGGGGGGGTGGGTGTGACTATCCATAGATGTGACTGAATAGAGGTGCTGAATGGTTATCTGTTGGGGGCAGGAGAGAAGGGAAGGAAAGCAAGGAGGCAGGGAGACACAAAAGGAGAGTGAGTGGGGGAGAGGGGGGGAGGGGGAGGGGGGGGGGAGGTGGTGTGCTTGGAAGCGTGACTATCAAGAGACGTGACTCGTGAGTGAGCCGGGTTATTGAATGGAGATTTGCTTGGAGACACAGCATCCTGCGAACACGGTTCCCCACACTCCACGCTCTTCCCTCACTCTCCCCTTCCCATCCCGTCCCACCCATTACTCTCTCTTGACTTCACTCTCCCCCCACTCTTCCCCCTCTCCCATCACTATCCCCACTCTCCCGTCCCTCTCCCCACTCTCCCGTCACTCTCCCCACTCTCCCGTCACTCTCCCCACTCTCCCGTCACTCTCCGCACGTACTCCCCTCACCATGCAGCAGTGCTCGGCGCTCGAATACAAGAAGCAATCTGAGCCGTAGATCGCTTCAAGCTCCTCCATCTTCTCCATCTGCGCCTGCCGATTCGCCTCCTCCTCCTCCGCCATGGTTTTAAACCTCTCGCCCGGGGGCTCTTTGCCTACTGTTAGCAAAGAGTTTGCAAAGAGTTGGTGAAAGTCAGCGAAGACCAGATCACGTTGACCGACGCTTCATCTGCGGCTGCCGATTCGTCCCTCCTTCACCAATCGACCGGAGGCCTGTTCTTGAGCCGACGAACCCTGGACCAGGGGCTCTTCGCCTTGAGTCAGCGAAGCGGAAGCGAAAGCTTGCGTCGCGATAGAGAAGAGATAGCAACGCAACGAGATCACACTAAACGACACTCACGCACCAACAACGTGGCGATGTCCTGTGGTCAGGATCGCAATTACATCGCGGGTAGGTAAAACGTTGTTCGTTGCACCATTGCGTCAAGCAGACCCTTATCACATTTATTCTGGCGACTGCAGTGCTCTGGCGGCTACAGCATTCGGCCGAAAATCTCTCTCGCGGTGCGACCCCACCTGCAAATGAGCATGGCGCGGGCAGGCAGGGCTGTGTGGGCTGAACAACGTCGCTACGCGCCGCGCTTGCTGCAGCGCGCGGGTCCAATGGCGGTGTCGATGCAATGTGGTGGTGGGACAGCGCGGCTCTTTGCGAAAGTGAGGGCTGGAAAGGGCTCTCCTAAATCGAGTGTGGTTCACGCCCCTCTAAAACTTGCAGGTATTCGGGTCCGCCTGACGTGTGCTGTGTTCGCTCGACGGGAAGGGCGGGGACAGCGTCTACGACCTAGGAGTGCAGAGTAAACTTCAAGGCACTTTGCATCTTGGTGGGTTGGTGAGATGCGCATTCTGCAGTGCTGACCCTGCACCGTATGGCTGTCGCTCGGCCAATCACCTATTTGCACCTGCCAAGTTGTTTGCTGATAGATAACGAATGGATCTTCATAAATGGAATGCGGGGGCTTATAGAACGTTCTTGCAATGTGGTGATATCTAGAAGCTCAGGCGGCATGTTCGGGAAACCGTGTTGGTTAAAGCCCGCGGCCCAAATTGCGAGGCGCGGCCTCCAAACGCACTGCGTTTGAAAGTAGCGCTTTCGTGGGTGTAGAGTGGGGTAACGTGAGTCTCGCCACTCTGGGGGTGCCTTTCAGGTTCACTGCCTGCTGCAATTTGGAACTCCATGTGTAGCACGTTTATTTATCGTCCATTTTTCACAGATCTGCATCTGACAGTCCGCACGCAAACTTTTCTTTCCAAAGCACCACCAGTAATTCGGGGATCAATCTCAACCGTCCAAAATCTTGGGGTCGAATCTGACGGTGCACGAACACTTTGCAGTTCACGAGGAAAAAAAACCTCGCGATTTTCCCGTGCATTTCGTAAAACAGCACGCCTTGAGTTCTTACACGGTGCGTTTCAACAATTTGGGCCGCGGGTTTTAAGGATGGCGTGTGGTGATTGTTTACCAATACGTTCATCTATAGCACAATATCGGCACACACGCCTTGCTGGTTTAGTGCATTTCAATATTAACATAATGCGTAAAATTCAGCGGACCTTAAGCAACACACGGGACATCACGTCCAGATTTACAATCTTCTAAAAACTTGCTCCACATCTGGGATATTCGTTTTCGGACTTGGTATCGGCACTATGACGGCGTTCTTGAACCTTTTTATTGAGAAACTCATTTGGGATCAGCGTCCCAGTACCATTATGTAGTCCATGATTCACGCCCATCACATGGCTTGAAGAAGTGCCTAGCTTTTTGTGTATAAATTAGGCACGTAAAAAATCTGTGTCAAACGCATGCTGAAAGCTGGAATATGTGTATGCCTTTATTGTTGTGCTTCATTACAAACTTCAACACCTATTTGGCTGCCCGTACTGTCAACAAATATACAATACACTAGTTAGTATATTTGTGTAATATCCCAGCTAGGTCAGTTCTTAGGGAGTATAAACTCCACTCTCGTACAACGCTCAACACTTTCCTTAGTCACCTTTTCAGCGCTACTTTGACATGGTATAAAGCTAGGGTTAGCTTCTCCTTCGTGCCATGCTTCCGATCGTATTGTTTGTTTTTTTTTTTTTTGTTTTTTTTTTTTTTTCGTGCAACTCCCGCTCTCAAATTCCGCGCTCCGCACCCAAACCCCCCCCTCCCCCCCCACCCCCCCCCCCCCCCTTCCCCCGCCCCCCCCCAAGCATCCTCTCCGTTTCATGCGCCAGCCAGCCAGCCAACGTGCTCGCCAGCCGACTCAATAGCCAGCCCGCTAGTTGCCAGCTAGCTCGACAGCCAGCTTGCTAGCATGCCAGCCAGCCTGTCAGCCAGCGCGCTGGCCAGCTTGTAGGCACGCCAGCCAGCTCGCCACTGGCTCGCCCGCCAGCAGCCGCCAGCAGCCGCCAGCCAGCTCGCCGCTGGCTCGCCCACCAGCAGCCGCCAGCAGCCGCAGCCAGCTCGCCGCTGGCTCGCCAGCCAGCAACTGCCAGCAGTGCCAGCCAGCGCACCAACCAGCTCGCCGGTGCTGCTGCCGCCCTCTGTCGCCCGCTGCAGCACGCTGCCGTCTGCTGCTGCAGCCGCATCTGCAGCCCCTGCTCCCGCCGCTTGCCGCCAGCCCAATCGCCAGGGCCAGCCCGCCACTCGGTGCCAGCTCGCCGCTGGCTTGCCGCCGCTGCCACCCCGCCTTTGTCTAGACGCTGCCGCTGCCGCCAGCTGATGCCCTCTGCAACTTCCTGCCACATGCTGCCACCGCCGCAGCCACTGCCACTGCTACTGCCGCTGCTGCCGCTGCTCCTACCACTGCCGCTGCTCCTGCCACTACCACCGCTGCCGCCGCTCCTGCCGCTGCTGCCGCTGCCACCGCTCCTGCCGCTGCCGCTGCAGCCGCCGCTGCAGCCGCCGCTGCCACCACTCCTGTATCTGCCTCTGCTCCTACTGCTGCCGCCGCCGCTGCTGTAGCTGCCGCTACCGCATCGCCACCATTGTCGCCGCTGCAGCCGCTGTTGCAGCTACTCCAGCACCAGCCACAGCCGCCAAGATGTCGGCCGCCAGTGTGTTCGTCCTGCTCCTAGATGGGGAGGGGCAGGCGGTCGGCTTTGCTGCCTGGCAGGAGACTGTCCTCCTTTAGCTGACGAGCCAGCGAGTCGACGACAAGTCCCTAGATGCCCACGTCTTTGGTGAGCTCTCTGCTCCCCCCCCTTCCCCCCCAGGCACTCTCGCTGCTGATGCCACGTCCGCACAACTGGCTGCTCACGCTGTCGGCCGTACCGCCTACTCGGTCTGGGCTTCCCACAAAGCCACTGCCCATGTCGCCATCCTCAGGTGCCTGCTGGTTGACGAGCATTCCCGCTTTGTGGGTGCTGCATCGGCCTGCGCCCTCTGGACGACCATCCTTGCCAGGTACTACACCCCGTCGTCTGCTACTGTTGGTCACCTCCTCCTCCCTTTCTTCCACCCATACTTCACTTCTTTCACAACTGTAGTGGACCTCATCGAGCACTTGCACTCCCTCGATGCCTGCTGGCGTGCGGCCCAGCTGGCTCTGGCCCCACCCCCCACACTACGCTACTATCTACTCCCTGACCCGCCTTGCCCCTGCCCGCAACGCCCTCCTTGCTGGCCACCTCTCTGAGCTCACCCTTCACCACTTCTCTACCTCCCTGACTGAGATAGAGGACCGCTTCCGCATTGCTCGTTCCACTGGTGCGTCGGCAATCCCTATCTTTTAGGGCAGTGCTCCATCGCAGGTCCTGCCTTCGCCTGTGTCGCTGAGACTGTGACGGAGAGAGCAGCGGCTGCCTCTGTGCCCGGCCTCTCCTCAGGCGGCAAGGGCAAGGGCAAGGGGGGCAAGGGCCGTGGGGGGTCGGCAGCAGCGGGTGGAGGGGGTGCGAGTGCAGACGGAGAGGGTGGTCTGTCGGAGTCAAGGAGTGCACAGCAGCAGCAACAGCAGCAGCAGAAAAGGTCGAGCGGCAGCAGCAGCAGCTGCAGTGGGGGCTGGCGGGCCCTGGGAGTTGTGGTCGTGGTGAAGGCCGTGGAGGTTGGTGCCCTGGGGGTTGCATGGCTCTTCTGTGAGCCAGGGACTTGGAGAACCTGGAGGCGCAATGACCTGCACGTACCAGCTACTGACCGCCCTCGGGCAGTCCACGTCTGTGGGCGCGCGGGGCACACTCGCTACTTCTGCCACCTGGACGACCTATACCGCCGTCAGTTCGGCCCACTGGTGCAGTTACCTCCCTGGCCTGCCTTGCTTTGTCGTGGCTCCTATCTTTCATATCGATATGATTCTGGTAGAGCATGCCCTGTATTCTCTGTATGCTGATGCCTCTGGTATTGCTGGTTCCTATTATCCTGCTGTTTGTAGCATAGGATCGACTGTTGTGTGTAGTCCAAGATCCCCTGCTGCGTCAGGCGTAGACTCCACTGCTGCGTCGGGCATAGATCCTCTTAGTACTCCTTCACTGGGCCCCGCCACGTCGGCCCTCTCCTTTATCATAGACTCTGGCGCATTACGATGTACTGCTCTCACCCCGCTTTCTGCACCTGTCCGCGTTGCACTAGCTTACTCTCAAGCCACAGTCGTCGCACAGAGCACCACCGCTCTCCCTTATCCAGCTATTTCCTCAGGCTCCCTCACCGGTTTGCACATGCCCTCATTTGCAAGGAACTTGGTTGGTATAGGTCACATCCAGGACCTAGGAGTTACCACCACATTCCTTGTCTACGAGAGACACGCAGCCTGTACACACACAGCCACAGGTAGACGTCTAGACACCCTTGAGCGTGACCCAGCGTCCGGTCTCTTTAGACTGCACACTACGTCCGCACCCATTGCTGCGTCTGCTGAGGTAGCCGTGTCCTCACTCGCCCACCCGACCCTTCTGTGGCACCACCATTTAGGTTACCCTGCAGTCCCACATCTTAGGCACATGTCCCAGCACGGTCTCGTCACTGGTCTCCCTGCATCGCTCCGCTTTGCCTCCGTCGGTTGCGCCACTGTGCACCTCCTACGTCGAGGGCTGGCAGCGCGCAGCCCCTTACTCCTCCTCATTTCCTCCTACCACAACGTCGCTACAGACACTGCACATGGACGTCTGGGGCCGTGCCCCGGTCCATGGACTTACCCGGGAGCGCTACTTCCTAATCGTTGACGACTTCTCGCATTTCACAACAGTGTTCCCGTTGGAACGGAAGGTCGACGTGCCTACTGTTCTCCTCCCGTGGCTTCTTACTGTTCGTGCGCAGCACAGCTGCCTATAGTTCGCTTACACTCTGACCGTGCTGGCGAGTTCAGCTCTAGCCATCTAGGACATTTTTGTATTGCGGAGGGCATCCGCCAGACGTACACACTGCCAGACTCCCCACAGCAGAATGGGGTCGCTGAGCGATGCATTCGCCTGGTCATGGAGGTAGATTGCACCTCCATGCTCCACGCCGGTGCACCCCATTTTCTGTGGTCATTCGTCGTGCGCTACACTGCTCTCCAGGTTAACCCGTGGCCATGCTCCCAAAGGCCAAAGGTTTCGCCGACCCTTCTCTGGACCGGGTCTCCTGGTGACGCGTCTACGTTTCATGTCTACAGCAGCCTTGCTCACGTCCGCGCCACTGGCGCAGACAAGCTCTCAGCCCGTACCCTTCCTTGTGTCTTCCTGGGGTTTCCGCTTGAAGCCCCTGACTGGCTGTTCTACCACCTGGCACACCACCGCTTCTACCGCCCTTGTTACGTTACCTTAGACGAGACGCTCCCTTACTACAGGCACTCTCCTCACCGCAGCTTTCCAGTTCCTCCTCCTCCTCTCTTCCTCCTCCCTGCCCCACCTGCCGCACCCCTCTCACCCC